TCGTGCGATAAATCTCTCTTCCATGATGTGTAGCATTCAAGTTGCCACTGATTAGGATGATGGAGGCATAGGATTGATCCATGACCAAATTGATTGTCCTAGTGTGGCATACCCCCTTGTCAACCCAGTTGAGTCGTGTAATTCTCTTTCTTTGTGTCTACAATAAAAAATCACCCCTTTTGCATTTCTTTGAGGTTCCACATAGTGGTTTTTGCATGTTTTCTGCCGGGAATAAAGTGAGGGTTGGAGGCAGTTCTTAAAATTTGGGCATGTGCTTGCAAGGAAAGAATATGGCAAAAAGTGGTGGTTCTCTAATGAGAAAAAAAAAGAAACAAATAAAAGCAAAAGCGCCCCCCCCCCCCCCACAACAATCTTAATCATGCTCATTAAATAGTATTTCTTAGCAGCCTAGCTTGGAAGTACTAACATGTTGTAACCTCCTTCACTCTTGTGCTCTGAAGAACCTGATTAATGCATAATATCAGAGAGAAAGTAAATGGTTTGAATGAATGTTGCTGTGTTGGTTTTGGAACTATGGAACTTTGTGTCATGAATTCTTCCACCACCTAAAAGATCTTTTCTTCATGTCCAAGACCCTAGCCAGTCATTGGAACCCATGTCTAAGACCTCCGGACAAGTTAGTGGTGACACCCAATATGTGAACTCTAGCATTTAGAGGTTGGCGTCATGGTGAAGAGACGTTAGGGATTGAGAGTACAAGTATGCACACATCTTGGATCATATTTTTTTCTGGACCCCACTAGTCGAGAGTGAGTGATTCAATTTTCATATTATATACCCCGGCGAGGACCTAGATTGATCGATCTTGATTATGATGTCTTGAATTTTATGCATGAAGTGACTATTTTAAGTGAGTGGTTGAGTCGAGTCTATGTTGGGCGGTGAACAGAAGGGAGACTCTTTCTCTACCCGATTTTGTTGCACTCGAATGTCATCTATGGTGGTTGACTAGGTTGTTATTGTTGTTGTTCATGTGTTGATGCCTAGTAGCTAGTATGATTCACGTGTTTTATGCCTATATGATATGTCCCAAAGTTTGCAGGGTTAAAACGTGTTTTGAGCTTAACTTGTGTCTGACTTGGTTTGCATGGGGACGAACAAACAGTTAAGTAGGGAGAATTTGATAGCATCATGTTTGCACCCTCGTTTCTGGATGTTTTTGGTTCGATTTTTTGATTTCTTGGCCAATTTTATGCTAGGTTGTGCTCCTTTGTCACATTTCAGGTCCTAGCACGTTAAGTGAAGTATAGGCGCAAGTTTCAAGTCAATCGGAGATCAATTGACGACTCGAGAGAAGAAACTTGGGTATGAACCGAGGAATTATGGATTTCTACCCCATTTTATGAAAAAAGAATCATGTACGCTTGTGATTAAATGAAAGAGGACGAGACCTCGAGCGTCTGGGATCAAAGGACGACTGATTCAGTGTGCGGACGAGAGAGAAACAAAGAATCAAAGACAGTGGGACAGGAGCCGAGGAAGAAACACGGGCAGGGTTGAAACACAGGTTGAGAAACACGACCATGTTTCTGCCCCCTGCTCGGGTATAAGTATGTTTTCTTCAACTTTTTAGTGGGAGAGCTGGATTTTGGATCCCAAACACCCAAGGGACGAACCCTAGAGAGAGAGCAAGTTGGGAACATTCTTGGAGCTATTTTTGATTATTTCTTCACCATTGGAACTCGGGAATCAAGCTTGGAGATGGAGGTTGAAGATCTAGATCAGATTTCTATATTCTCTCTCTTCCCTATGGAGTAACTTCCCTTCACTTAGGTTTTGAGTAACCCTAGTTCTATGTGTTAAAAGTCTTGCTTGTAATGACTTTTGAATGCTATATTATTTGATTTTAATCGATTGAGGCATGATTTGTTGAGTCAATTGAATCCTGATCATATTCTCTTGATTTTTTATTTAACCTATGGAAGATAGAATCTGATTAGGTTAAGTGTGCTTCCTTGATTGATAGTAGTGAATTGATTATGCGAGAGTCGGTCAATTCATTGCTTTGTACTGAAATTCGTCCCAAGTAGTGGCGATATGTGTGAATTGCCTTAGCATTCTAACCCGGTGAAGGCTAGTCGCCTACTGGGTATTGTATGTAAGAGGGCTTGGTGAGGTTAAGAGATTCCAAGCTATTTTCGGGTCTTTCGCGATCTAATCAACAGTAAATCAACCAAAGGAAATTACAACTTGGACCTAATTGAGGAGCTAGGGGGAATCATACCCGAGTGAGTTCCCAACCTGTAATCAGATTAACTTTAACTGTAGTTTGCTTGAGTAGTTATAGTTCTTCTATATTAATCTGGTTTGATAGATAATGAACTGAAGGTGAGTAATAATAACTTTATAGACCCGAGGATTCGATATTTATTACTTGTATCACTATATTACAGTCCATTTTATTGGCAACATATGATCATTGTTAGGAGTTGTGTCTTAGAGAGTCACAAGACCAGCTAGACATCGCAAACATCACACTATTATGGCCTATAGGGGACGAGACAAAGCCATGTGCCCTCTCTCGATGCTTCATCAAGGATGGAGATTGAAAGTGAAGTGATTCATAGGCGAAAACGGCAGAATAAGATCCCTAGCCTAAATTTGGTCAATCCGATAAAGACCTTTGCAGCATGCACCATTAAACTCAGTGTAGCATTCACCATCCTCAGTCCAGAAGAGGAAGGAAATTTACCTGCAAAATAAACACACACATAATTGCCACTACTATAGGACGACAAAGTTCCACTAACATGGAATGAAACAAACCAATAAAGCTTAGCTGAAACTCTGATGACGGTACAACTCTGTATATCTATTAATATTTTTTATTTTTACTTTTAAGGAGAAACAATATTGAAATGAAAAGAGTTAAGAAAAGAGTTTCAACGTATAATAATATAAAAACAGATAATAACCATCATTCAGTAAAAAAGATAATAATAAATAATTAGGAAGGAATTCGGAAAAATCCAAAACTATCACTGTTTAAAAAAAAATTACAAAAATACCACCTACTCCAAATAATTTCCAAAAATACCATCGTTTATATAAAACCGCGTATTTAATGAGCGGTTTTTAATAAAACCCCGCCTCCAGGCAGCGGTTATAGAACAAAACGCGCCTCCAAGGCGCGGTTTGACCTTGCATGGCTGTCAAACCGCGTGGCCACGTGGCGGTGCATCAAATCGCCCGTTCGAGGAGCGATCTGACGGCCAAAACGCGTGCCAACTCAGCGATCCGCGTCGCCCATGGAAACCGCTCCCCCGAGGCGCGGTTTGACTGTTGGGAAACGCAAGCCGCGTGCTGGAAGCGCGGTTTTTGGTGGGGTAAAATGACTGAACCGGCCCTCCCCCACGCGGTTTCTCACCTATAAAAACCCCCATCCCCTTCATTTTTCTGCACACCAACCACATCCCCCCCCCCCCCTCTCTCCCTCTAATTTCTCTCTACCCACCCCCCTCCCCACCCAAAAACCTTAGAATTAGTTTTTTTGTTGGTTGCGGCTAAGTCCGATCTGCCTCCAAAAAACTTTTTCTTTGGTTTTCACTAAAAAACCGTCGAACCTCTGTCCGGATTCCGAGAGAATGGCCGATTTCGCTCAAGAAGAGGGCCTTTTTTATGATGATTATCAAACGGTACGTACTCATTTTTCCCAATTGTTGTTGTTGTTATAATGATTTATTTAATTTATATACTAATGATTTATGTTATTCTTATGCTATCGTAGGTTGGGCCGGATGTTGATATTTTCAATCAACGATATTATGTTGATCAAGGACAGATTGATCCGACAGTTTTATACGATCAAGCAAATCATCGTTCAAGAGACGTTTGGAACGACCACAAGGTACATATTATTTATCATCACTTGTAATTTGTATTTTGTTAAAGTAATTTATTTGTTTGTACAATAATTTACTTAATTTTTAATCGTATTGATTATTTTCAATAATTCAAATCAATACAATACAACACTTATTTAGACTCTTTATGAAGAAATGCATGTCTAAGGAAATGGGAACTTAAGCGATCATCATGATCCCCCCATGACCTGGGAAAATCGGGTTCTAAGCGATCCTCGGATCCCCCCTTTTTCTGTCAAAAAGACTGTGTTTCTAAGAAGATGTATACCTCTCCTAAGAGTCTTACGAGTGTACTTGTATTGCTTTAAATTATTGAAAATAATCAATACGATTAACAAAATAATATATTTGACTTTATGTGTATGTGTACAAAAATAATTATAGTTAAATTTCGAATATTATTTTAGTTATGTTAATATTAATGTTTATTAGATAATGTATATTTCTCTAAAACAACCTAGCTTTAATTAATATTGCATCTTTTAATATTATTTTAGTTATGTTAATATTAATGTTTATTATATAATGTATATTTCTATAAAACAACCTTGATTTAATTAATACTGTATCTTATAATATTATTTAGTTATGTTAAAATTAATATTTAATTAGTTAATGTATATTTCTATAAAACCGCTTGATTTATTTAATATTGCATCTTAGAAAATTATTTTAGTTATGTTAAAATAAATGTTTATTAGATCATGTATATTTCTCTAAAACAACCTTGATTTATATATAAATTGTACTTTATAATATATTTATATATGTATAAATCATCAACTTATAGTGAAATTTAAATTCTTCTCTAGGATGCATACCATATAGTCCGCTATAGGGGCACAACGAATGTGCTTGAATGGAACGACGTCATCTTGCCCTTTCTAAAAAGGGCAAGATTGGATTCGATTAGGCATTTCAATGGAATCAAGATCGACCGCCAACTCATCACGGCGATGGTAGAGATATGGCGAAAGGAGACACACTGCTTCAATTTTCGTGAAGGCGAGTGCACCATCACACTTAAGGACATCGCCATCCTAACCGATCTCCCCATCGATGGTGATGTTGTTTGTGTGGACTCTACGCCACCACCTAAAGTTGTTGCCAATATGAGTGGTTGGCAACATTTTATATGGACGGTCACCGGGTTGTGTCTGCCAGAAAAGGGAGATCACGATGCGGATGGTCATCCACCATTGTCCAAGGGGCAAGTATCCATCACGTGGTTGACAGCGGAGATCAGGTGTAAGCACAACCCTGAGTTCGGAGGCATTCCCCTCACGGAGGAAAGTTCGGAGCGTGATAAAACATTTATGCACGTATCTACATCCTCGGCATGATCGGAATGGGTTGTTTGCCATTCAAAACTCCGAGTCATTGCTTCAGTGGAAATAGCGTGTCGGACTTCATTCTTCGTTGCAAATTGTTGGCCCTTCGTAAAGCCAGTTAGTGGACCCCATACTGGCACATCTGGCGGGTCCATGTTGGCATCAACATACCAATCTTCATTTTGAATGTGATTGTAGTATGGACTAGGTACACGGTCGTGAGCTACCTCATCACCATCTGCGTCTGAATCTGGACTGGAATCATCAGTACCTTCCAGCAGATCGTCGCTGTCTGCACTAACTTCTCCTTCCTCTTCTTCAACCTCAGGGTCACTAACTGGACTTGGATTGACCTCTTCTTCCATCTGATTATCAGCATGAAAGGCACCTTCACCTTCACTAGCTCCGTAATGGTAGTTGTGGTAACTAACACCGCTTATATAGAAGTTGTACTCGGGTGGGTACTGGTAGCCTGCTTGTTGGTTGTAATCTGCCTGTTGAGCTTCTTCTTCATATGAAGGGAAGGATTGATGACTTCCTCCAGTTCCATGATGATACTCCTGCCTCCAGCTCGACTCTTGGAAATCCTGCTGGGGATGATCTTCGTATAATACACTCCCACCGTGGATACCAGATGTTTGGCCATCTCCAGAATGACCTACACTGCCTTCGACGACCTCGGTGTAAACGAACATCTTCGCTTGCTTAATTTTATTGGTGGTCAAAAATTGGACCATGGCATCAACGTCCTCCTGAGTGGTAAGGAGGAATTCCTCATTCCACAGCGACCCGTTATGTCTGTTTGGATATCGATACACCATTCGATCAACTCTTCTAGTGCCATCCATGCAGGTAATCTGAGTGCACATTTGATGGAGTTCTTCAAGCATCGGTCTCGTACGGACCTTCATTTTATAAAAATTGCCACTGACGTAACTTACACCCTTTTCGGTCTCTTCCGTGTAACCATTCCACCGCAACCCAAGCGTGAACCTTTGGAATGTCATATGCAATGAAAAGTAATACAAGTTACTAACATAACATCACAAAGGACAATGAAAAGTAATTAAGTTACTAACATAAAATCACAAATGACAATGAAAAGTAATTAAGTTACTAACAAAAAATCACAAATGACAATGAAAAGTAACTAAGTTACTAACATAAAATCACAAATGAAAATGAAAAGTAATTAAGTTACTAACATAAAATCACAAAGGACAATGAAAAGTAATTAAGTTACTAACATAAAATCACAAAGGACAATGAAAAGTAATTACGAAACAAACTTACGAATTAACGTTAATCGCAAAAACTAAATAATTTAAAGCTGAAATTTTAAGAAGGAAGAGGAGGAGGTGTGAAGAATTGAGTTCTCTGAAACCGCCTTTTATAGGCAAATTTTGCAGCAAAACCGCTGGGCGGGGAGCGGTTTTAGGTCTGCCATGCACCCCTACCAGCCCTACCCCCTGCATGCCGACATGTCCGACATGTTGGTTGTTGGGTGACCAGGCACAAACCGCGCCTTGGGGCAGCGGTTTATGTCCTGACATTGTAAACCGCCGCTTGGGGAGGCGGTTCGTAATGCCGACATTTAAACGCTCCCTCTTGAAGCGTTTTGTGGTAGGGTTAGCCTATAACCGCGCCTTCCAGAAGCGTTTTTTTCTGGAAATTAAAAACGTTGCCTGGAGGCGCGGTTATAATGTAAAACGCTGCCTGGAGGCGCGGTTTCATTAAAAACCGGTCATTAGAGGCGCGGTTTTATATAAACGATGGTATTTTTGGAAATTATTTGGAGTGGGTGGTATTTTTGTAAATTTTTTTTAAACCGTGGTAGTTTTGGATTTTTTCCAAGGAATTCAGTAAAAAAGATAATAATAATAATATCTTGAGCCCAGCGCATCATCGAAAAGAGTTTCACCCACCTAGTGCCTTCGGCGATGTCCCCCTCCGCATCCACCTCTCCCTATCGTCTGTCTGAAGCTGCCGTAGTAGCTGATCCGGTAGATGAATAGACTTCGTGCGATTGGCGCTTTTTAAAAGTCAAGCATGTCTTTCTTCCATTTTATTCTACTTTTTAGTTAATAATGGTAGGATAAAATTTGTCATGTAAGGTTGTACGAGAAAACTCAATGGTATAGTATTTTATGATGAAATCGTGATTCCTATCCCCCATTAGATGATCTTGTAGGACAATTGCCGTCACGATTTTGAGGTTCTGAACAGGGGGAGTGCCGGAAGATGATTGAAGTGCCTTCTAGTGGCGTATCATGGTTCCTATTATAGGTGTCAAAACATAACCCGACCCGATTAACCCGCCCGATCAACCCGACCCGCAACCCAAATTTACTAAAAGTCAACAACCCGTAATCCGCCCGACACGCAATCCGATTGACCCGCAACCCAACTAACTCAAACCCGATTGACCCGCAACCCGACTGACCCGCAACCCGATTAACCCGCAACCCGATTGACTCGAACCCGACTAACGCGTAACCCGACCGACTCAACCCGAATTTCATCTAATCCACTTGAATAATTATAAAAATATACAATACATAGTTTTTCAAAATAAAGTTTTTCATTCTAAACTTAAGTAAAATTATTTTTTCGTTTCGTATAAGAAATTTAAAAAATATGAAACTCACTTGATATTACGTATTTTAAGAAAATTACAAAAATTGAAACATGAAGGTCACTTGAGATCATGACAATATTAATATAATATATAAATTAAAATTTTGGTTAATTTAACTATTCAATAAAATTATCAATTAAATATAAATAAAGTAAAGTTATGTATTTGATAATTTGATGTTTTTAAAAGAAGATGGAAATTTTGGTGTATTCAAGTTTTTGGGAAGAGAAAGAAGAGCGAAATTTGGTTCTTTGAATTTTTTAGAAAAGAAACAAGTGGGAATTTGGTGGTTTTGATATGTGGGAAGAGAAAGAAGTGGGAAAGTTTGATTCTTTTGATTATGAAAGAGAAATAAGGAAGGAAACTTTTGACTTTTCAACTTTTTGTAGAAGGAAAGAAGAGAGTAATTTGGTTCTTTCAATTTTATGGAAGAGAAAGAGGAGGGAAAATTGAGTTTTTCTAATGTATGGAAGGAGAAAGAAGGAGGAAAATTTTAGTATTATTGTGAAAAGAAAGAAGGAAACAAATTTGGTGTTTTCAATTTTTTGGTTTTTCATAATTTTAGCTTTTGAAATATGAATCTTTAACTTTTATATGGAGGGCATGACTAGTTAAAATTATTCTTATATGCTTTGAACGCTAATATGTATATATGTATGTAATTGTTTATGGGCTAATAAATAAATTAACCATTAGTTACAACAATTTATACTAAACTTGATAAGTAATCTTTGACGGTTCGTTGTTTAGGATATAAAGTATATGGTTAGGGTATAAGGTATAAGGTACATATGGTTTAGGGTGTATATGGTTAGGGTATAAGATATTGATGGTTCTAAGTTTTTTATTAACATATGTTCACTTGAAGTCATTTGAAGTCTTTAACGGCAGGAGATCCCTTTTAATTTATGTTTATGGTACGTGGTTAGGGTACAAGGTATGTGGTGTAAAGTATAAGATATATGGTTAGGGTATAACATTTAGCAAATATCACTTTTTATCTATGTTTTGAAAATCAAAGTATGAATTTCACTTTTAAATTAACTATACTAGCAAAATCACAAGTCAAGGATATATGGTTAGGGTATAGGTTATGTGGTTAGTGTATAATGTATTGATGGTTTAGGGTATACAATCAACAATATATACTAACTTAATATTGTTGATTGAGGGTAAGGCTAAGTGTATAGGATATATGCTATTGAGTAAGTTATGATTGAAGTCACAATAATTTTACTAAATTTGATAGCTAATCTTTAATGGTTCAAATTTTAGGATAATTCGAAAAATTTTACAAATAACTCGTTTGGCAACAGTTTACTGAAGTTATTTGGGCAATGAGTTATTTTGAAATAACTCATTTTATCACTATGCTTTTGCCAAATACCAGATTTGCATGGTTATACTAAATGAGATACTTTAATCCAATTACTACTGAATTAATACTAAAATATCAAATAAACAATTAACGGTGTCTTTTGGTTGCAAATATTGATATCACCATTACTATTAGCTATAATACTTTACCAATTATGATTAATTACATAACAAGTTTGCAAGTCATACAAATTGATTTAACATTTGGACTAGTTTTTTTCAAAAAAATAAACTATATATATACGAGGTAGAAATAAATTGGTTAAAAAGTTGAGAAAATATTTTAAATTAGTATAATAAAATGTGTAAGTTGGTAATGAGTAATGAGTTAAGTTACTTGATGCGCTGGCCGAACAACCCGAAACCCGACCCGCTCGTAACCCGCCCGACCCAAAACCCGATGAACCCGCAACCCGATTGAACCCGAATCCGATGAACCCGCAACCCGACTAACCCGCAACCCGTTTGAACCCGAACCCGATGAACCCATAACCCGACTAACCCGCAACCCGTTTGAACCCGAACCCGATTGAACCCAGTCCGAACCCGCCCGATTGACACCTATAGTTCTGTGGTGGCTGAATTTGAGATACAAATCGGAGCGGTACTAGCGAGGGATTGGATGGTATGGCTAGGGATTGGAGCTGTGGTACGAGTTCCTCGTCGTGACGAGTCTCAGCTAATTACAGCCAGAGAATTCGATGACTTCTAGATCAACGACGGAGGAGAGATCTCTGCCACTACCGGAGGCGTTGCCCCATCCATCAATGATTTTTCGAAGGATCGAGTCTTCTACAAAGCGTTTGAAAAATGGAGAATTCGATGCAAAGTGAGGAGCTGGGTTCTCACTTCTCAGTAGACAATATTTAATAGAAGGAAAGAAGACGATAGATGAGAAAGATAAAAATTAAAGCTGGAGAGATGGCTATAGCAATCGAATTCTAGAAAAGTAAAACTCATTTCGCTATGAAATTATTTGGTCGGAAAATGTACAATTCATCATACTGCGATCAAATTATTTTGTTGGGAAAAGTAAAATTCCTCTTGGTACCAAATTATTTTATTCTAAAATGTTTTATTTGGTTATCACTATTATGTTTTAAATAGGCGACCAACTTGTTAATATTTAGCATCCAAAATATAATTTGTCCTAAATACTAAAACTACTTTTTGCTACACTGGCTTTTCTATCCATTCAAGGTATGAAAACCCTATTTACGACGAGTTTTTCACCCGAACTTTAACTTAGAGATCTGAATCAAATACACGAATTAGTTCACTACATCATTCTAACATCTGTTATGTTATAGTAACAATATGGATCGCGTTTTAATTTTCTCCGACCAATGGCCGAGCATCAAGCTAGTAAAGAATATAGTTAATGGTGAGACATTAGTTTCTTTAGTTTTAATAAGTATAATTTTTTAGTGAAAATGTTTAGGTGAAGAAGTTTATTAATGAATTTTATTATTTTCTTTGATAGTATTAATAAATAGTAAATAAAACATATTTTGCTTATGATGCTATGTATGTTTGAATAAGAAAAACTTTTAGGGTATGTGTATGGTAGTTTTTACCTCATCGTGACTCAGATAAAATGGTTGAATTCATCTACAAAATGCTCGATCGAATGGTACACATATAATGGAACCAAACCATTACAAATGATAAGAACAGTTGATCGCTTATTTGTTGCGGTCAACCTAGTATTGAAAAGGATGATATTCATAAATAAGCCGGTTAACAGCACCATGGAGAGGTTAACCAGTTAGGGCCAAAGTTATCTTCATACCTCAAGCCAATGTTGTGGAGAGTGTAGTAGAGATAATGAAACTACTAATTGCACCTAAATGCTTGTTCCGACAACCCGTTTGGTCTAGCTGTTGAACTACACTTACTACATCAACAACTACCTTTGATATTTGGTGTCTTTTCCACTTCACCTAGCTCAAAAGCTACAAGAATTTGTTCACGCCATTTTTAGAGTGATAAACTAACAACATAGATTGTTATTTATAGAGATTTATGTCGTTATTAACTCGAGTTAACTTCTAGTAGAGTCCTGATTTAGTACTAAAATCTTTCTAATGGTCGATTCACGTTTTAACACTTATAATATAATGGCCAACATTAGACCATTTAACTTTTCCGGTCGACCACTATATTCTCTGTAATGATATATTGGTGTCATATGATCAATCGTTTTCTTGGAGACACCAAATGTTTTGTCCAAGTGACAATAACTTAGAAGTCCCAGTAACAAAGACCTAATTAGTTATTTTTGGCAAACATAGTTTAGCATTCATTATCAACATTAACTTTGAAAGTGGCTACTACAGTCTAC